CCCCAAAACCCCAAAACCCCAAAACCCCTTAATGAATATAACATCTAATTATTAATAGAGATAAGAAATATTATAGTAATAAATTAAATGATAAGAGTTTACTTGATAGAAAGAAAATTTAAAGAATTGCTTGAGTTTGAAATGGATCCAGAATCCTCAGTTTAAACTCTGCTTTACCACATATCGTTGAAACTTAAACTAATGAATTACTATGACTATGGTCTATATTATATTGATCCAGAATCAATAAATAACATTCGATCTAGCGGTATTAGTATTGATGTTATCTAAATTAAAATGATTTAGCCAACTAATGAAAATGCTTATGAAGAGCAACTCTAATTAATATAAGACATTAAGAATACCAAAATAGGTGATTTTCTAGGTGGTGGGCCAAATTAGACTTAAATGATAGAGTTTGTCCTGAAATGATGATTATTTAGCCCAGAAATGGTATCAAATTTTGAGTAATACAGCGAGAATATGAATGATCTTGAGATTAAATTCATATTTAATTAGCTAAGCTATTTGAATATTATACATCATAGTTACAATGAAGAGAATATCGCTATTAGGTAAGCAGCTATTCTTGAATGTATAAGGTTGATCGAACAGTAAAATGTCAGAGATGTACATAGTGCTTAGCTAGATATTAGAGAAATAAATACTATATTTCCGTAATAACTAATAAGCTACTTCAATAAAAAAAGCATTTACAAGAAAGTACAAGCGTCAAAGCAGTACTTGTAATATAATATTAAAGTTCAAGAATTGGAAAAGCTATATTTAAAGCTTAGCTTTCAATAGTAGCCATAAATTGGAGCTCAATACTTTCCTATTTAAGTGGTAAATCTAACGAGCGGTAATCTTTCAAAGCAATTAAAGAAAATTCCTAAAAACTAACTGCTATTGGTAGTTACCCCATTTTGTATTGGCTTTGCTGAAGATAATTCTAAGAACCTTAGCGGTAATAAACTTCATAAGAAAATCAAAATATAGCTGAACTATGAGTTAATAGAGGATATTGAAATATCAAAACCTTAAGAGTTACAGATTAATCTTATGAATAAAGATTTCAAAATGAAGTAGAAGGTTGCTAGCATGAGTATAAATGCCTTCAAAATAAGCTATGTAGCTGAAAACGAAGGAGAATAGCAAATCCTATTAAAGACTGATTAATCAGGTATAAATGGAAATACTCTGATCCAAGAAGAAATAGTTTCACTAATTAATGACTATCTCAACTATAAATACAGAGAAAAAGCACCTAAAAAGACTGAGTTCAAAAATTTTAGGGACAGAATCACTCCCATAGATATTGAGGAGATTTAACTCAAGTTTAGATATATGGAATTCCAATAAATTAACAGTACAGTGTATAATGATTTAAGAGAATACATACAAGAGAATGAATTTACTTTGAAAGATGCTTTTGATTAATTATTTGATGGGAAAGTTTATCTGGCTCAATTGATTTTCTAAAATGTTGATGAAGAGGAGAAATACCTCTTTTTAAAATTATAGAAATGGATTAGGTGTGTAAAATTAGTATTGAATCGAAAGAGAATTGCGAAAAAAATAATACTTATTTAGGCATTTGTTAAGGGTTGTATTGTAAGAAGTAGACTTATAAAAGCTAATGTGTATTTATATAAACACTATTATGCCAGACAAATTTAAAAAGTGTTTAGAGGCTATTTAGTTAGGAAAAGACTGATATAATACTACCAAGATTTAATGTAAATATATAATAGAGCATGAATCATAATTATTAAATACCATTTTGGATTATATTGAGATTAGTTTTAAGGGGTTTTGGGGTTTTGGGG